GAAGTCGGACACGCTCCAGCTGTAGAGGCCGTCGACGGAGTCGCGGTAGCTGAGCATGGCGCGCAGGAGGTCGCCGAGCTGAGACAGGTATGAGGTGCGGTCGTCTTCGCCAGTGGCTATATCAGCGTGTCGGACGCTACGCCGCGCGCCTAGGAGGCCCTTGTGTGTAATGTCGTTGAGGTATCGAGTATGTGCCTTGATGAGGTCGTCGAGGGTACAGCCCTCGCGATGTATCCGTTTCTGAAGCTCGTTCCAAGAGGACTCGATGACTTCGAACAAGATGTAGTATTGTAGCTGGCCAATGAAGTGAATCATCTCTGCAAGAATGCCGCGCGTTGATTTCCAAGTTTGCACAACGACAGGGTCGGAATTCTGAAGCACCCCGCGTGAACCTGTCATACACTTGCGCCAAGTAGAGGCGAGGGCAAACTCGACGCGCTTGATGCGCCACAGAAAGTTGAACACCTTGAGATATTGGCGGTTGCCCCAGTCGGTCACGACAACGTCGACCGGAGCATCGATCTTGTACTCCAGCGTAAAACAATCCCAGCCAATATCGCCATGGGACAACTGGAGCATCCGGGCGTCAAGGCGGCGTAGGACTTCAGGCGAGTCGTACTGCGCGTTGGATCCGCGAATCGCGTGTTCCAACTGAGCCGTCAAAGTATGTCTGTACTGTGCGCCGGCTGGACGATCGAGGTTCGCGGCGAGAGATTCCATAAGAAGAGCGATAAAGTCGCCTTGTCCCAGCAGAATGTAATTCTTCAACGCCTGCAGATGCTCGAATAGGTGGAATTTGTTGGCCATGAGGTCTATGAGACGCTTCATGGTTGTCTTGTATGCCTCATCAATCCAAGCCTCGAGGGTTGCCGTGTCGCCATAGCGCAACTCCTTCGAGGCCGCCTTGGAGTAGTCTTCGACCCACTGGGAGTCGCCGCAGCTGTGTCTGATAAAGTTGAGAGATTTGCCAATGAGGAAGACCTTTTGGGCGAAGTCTTGAGTGATAATACTTGGGACCATATCCTTGTCGATTTCGTACTTATCTTCCCATACACTGTTTCCGCCCGTCTTTGGCTCGTCCGACTGCTTCTGTTCTTTGACAAAGAACTCGCGGAATGGGTCGAGTAGCTCGCCATCGTATATCCATCGACGCAGAATATCGTAAAAAGGGCGTGTGACATGCACGAGTAGACGTTCGGCAAATGCTGCAACCATGGGGTCACCATGCGAAGAAGAGAATCCGTGTACGAGGGAGATGAGTTGTCCACCTCTTTTACTTTCTGACTCTTCGGCAATGAGGCTCATAAGCCGCAGCCCCATCGTAGCTTCTCGCGTCCATACTACACATCTCTTCAATGTGACACCTGCCATTCCTATGCCACCTCTTGGAGCGGATTCATCTAGGGAAGACAAGGCTTTGCGAATTTGACCCTCCAGAGTGGCGACGAGGCTAAGATAAGACCGCAACTCTCCGCCTATGGCGGCTCGAATACTTTGTCTCAGCAAGCCCTGTGCGGGGGACTTGACAAAGACATCGAGGCGTCGGTATAATAAAGACGGTTCGGCTACTGTGTGGAGGAGAGAGATGATCGGAGATGGTAACGTCGGGGGTAATGTGATGGTGTCAGGTCGCGAGAAGGGCAAGGTAGTCGAAGATAATCCCTGAAGAGTAAAGGGAAGATCTCGTAAGAGCACCGTCTCGGAAGGGTCGATCTCGACGTAATTATCGGCCAGCAAGGTGGACTTCAAGTTCACTTGTCGCTTGTCCGTTTCAGCGCCATCTGCCTCCTTCTCCTTTTCCTTTTCTGAGTCCTTTTCTCTTTCGTCAATAGACTTGCTGTTCTTTTTGTGATTTGGGGGAAAGTTCTTTAATCCCTCTGGCGCAAAAGCATCGTCGAACTGCTCTTCTTCTTGCCTCGATATCGGTGTAGAATTCTTGGACGACCGTTCTCGTTCATGTTTCCTGAACGGGTCGCGCTGCGTTTGTGGAGGTTTCGGTGGGACGAGGGGCAGCGGCTCACTTGGATCGGGTGAGTCGCCGAGCTGATAGAGGAGGTAGAGGATAGCCCATTTCTGGCCCAAGACTGGTAAGGACAGAAGACGTGTATAGAGGTTTGAGAAGCGCAGCGCTTGACTTGGGTTGCTCTGTATGAGCTTCCGCTTGATCAGATCGGAGGCGTGGTTAACATCGGAGGAAATGGCGGGGGACGCGGGGCTAGAGGTTGACCGATCAGCAACATGGCATACAAGTGGTCGGACATCGCTCAAATTCGCCATTGTGTATAAGACTTACGCATCCAAAATTGACTTGACCAGCTCAAAACAGTTGTCGTGTCTATCCTGGGCCGCAGCATCGTCCTCATGAGGGTCGTTGGGTACCAAGTGTGCGATTAGGCTGTCGACGGCACCGGCAATGCGATGCTCGCGGTTGGCGGACATGATGGCATTGCCGAACACTGACCACCTCGAGGTTCAAAGACAAGGTGAAGCCTTCTTGGGTGGGCTGCCACAGCGAGTGGAGAAAAAGAGGTTAAGCTCGCGGTGAAGAGCAGAACATGCGCCGGTCGTTGTCATATATCGCATTGATTTCGTTGATGTACTCGCAGCATTGCAGCCCGCTGAGAGAGACGCGCCGGACGCGACCTCACAGGCTCACAGTGTTGCTGATGCCAGTCGCAAGCAGCCTACAGGGGCTCACGCCGAAGTGGTCAGAGCGCCCACGGATGTATTCTGAACCCTTGCAGCCTCCCAGCTCACATACTAAATCGTGGTCCCCGCTACTTCTTCCCCAGGCTCGGCCCTCCCCTGGCTTTCGTCGTCAGACAGTTCGGCAAAATTTCCATCGACAAAGCAGTGCAGCACCTCTCAATCGCATCCCGTCTTCCTCCACTGTACGAGACGGAGCCGGACCCAACCACTTGACATCACCTCCGACCTTCGTCATCACGCCTGCGCCCACAACATGCCCCGTCCATCGAGATAGTACCGAATTCGCGATCGCATTGTCATCCTCTTTCGTTCTATGCTACTCATGAACGTCTTTTCCGCACTGCGCCGAGTCCTGCCCGCCGCCGCTGCTGCTGCACGCGACTGTCGCTCAGCTCCACTAATACGCTCGACGACGTGATCTGCCTGTCTGGCATCCCGTGTCGCAATGCCCGACATCGACCCCGCGGCCTTGAGCAGCCGCCCATCAGTAAATCTTTCCACGCCGACACTTTCCACCAAATCCATCACTGTCCAACCTCCGGGCTCTCTCAAATCCGCCAAAACAAGTCAGATCATACCCGCCCGCATTGACCTAGAGCCGCTTTATACCGCCTTGAAGCAGGCCATCGGCCCGGAAGCATGGGTCATCTACAAGGAGTCAACCACAGAGTTTCTCATCGGTAAACAACTCCGGATATCCGCGCAATCATCACTCGGAAGCTAACATCCGCTCCCAGGTCGATTGAATCAGACCGAGTACTCAGAACGAATTGATCCCATCCTCACATCCCCCAATGGCGAAAAGGAACACCTTCATAATCAGCTAATTGCTGCAATATACGGCAATGTCACAAGGGAGATGCCCGACCAGGGGCTCGCCCCTTGGGTCAGCGCCAACGATAAGCCCACTGCTCCCGTTGGCAGTAAGCCTGTATCGGGAGATGCGGCGGAGCGTCGTCTTAAGGGCGATGTGATGCAGTTGCCCACCAAAGATCGTCGGCGTATCAAAGATTTGGTTGGAAATGACGTTAGTACACGTCTTAAGCTCGTTAAAGTTCGATATGCTAACGTCAAGGTTCATCAGTTCGACCCCTACGAGAGTCTCTCTAATGTATTCCTGGACCACCACCGACGACAGCCTAAACCGGCCGATGTACCACCAAGCGCAGGAGGCATTGGTGGTATAAATAAGATGAGTAAGTGGAATCTATGCTCGCTGGTCAAGGCCGAGGGTTAACTGAGTTGTAGATTTCGATTTGGAGATTCGCAAGCGCTTTGCGCAGCCCTTGGCCGGGGAGTCTGGCGAGTTCCCTGATGCCCCTGTAGTTGAAGGCAGAATGCTGCCGTTCTGCTACGAGGCAGGACTTACTAGCGGTCACGTCCAGGATGCGCCGCACTTCATGACAGTTGCGACCGAAACATTCATCAAGGAATCACTGGCCGCTATATTTGCCAAGACGAAGAGCAATGGTCCAGGAGAAGGCGCCACTGCTGGATTCGGAGCAGGAACTCAGTGGATCCAAACTCATAAGTACCGACACCAGCTCGTCAAGGAGGAGGATGCAGCCCTGCGGGGTGACCTCACACGCGATAAGAGCGGCCTTCTACCTATTGAGTCGAAGGCAGCAAGCGAGCGTGGACCCCTTGGCATGGCGGACGTACGGATTGCCTTGGAGATGGCCGATAGCGGCTTGGCGCAGTTCCCCATTATAAATACAGCCATATCATATGGCTACCGTGAAGGAGAGCTTGAGAATTGGCACGACTACACCTGGCTACCAGGCCTCGAACCTCCTGGAGCCAAGAAGGAAGCTTCTGATATCAAACCGGTCATCACAGAGCAGCTACCTAACGGCCATGTCGATGCAATGGAAATTGACTCGGAGCCCTGGTGGGAAGGTGCAGAGCCTCAAGACATGAGCTCCCTTGACTCTGTTCTCGATTCGTGTCTGGCAGTTGGATCATAGTACGGACAACCACCAACACGGTCATGGGTTGCTCAGAGAGACAAGGTCTACGCCAAGCGCTTTCTCAAAGGTATCGGTCCCGTCTACAAAGATTGGGGGCGCTTGTGGGGCTGGAATAAAAGGTCGCTTCGGTCACGTCGAAGCCGAAAGGTTTGATCGAGGTGTCATCTTAACACCTTCGAAGATCACGGTTTCCAGCATCGAGCTTCATAAGCATTGGCATCAGGCAAGGCGTCATTGGGTTTTTCGCCATTTGGCAAGTTTGGTCAGTTTTTGAAATCGTTCTTTACCCTGCATTAAGGGATAGAGGAGGACGGCATGGTTTGTGCACGCTTTCATCAAAGTAACAAGGGGGGCAGGGAGTTCAAGGTTGTTTAGCAACGGAAGGGTTCTGTACAGTATGGACGATACCCTATTGCTCACTTCAAGTGAGCCACATATTTGGAAGGTGGGCGAAAGGTAGCTCTAGTCAGTGGAACGTTATAGACGAATTTATGTAACATTATCGGAAGTTCCCAGCGGGGAGCCACTCTTGAGGTTGGTGACTTTGTTCTTCCTGAGTTGTATGTTACTTTGAAACTATGTAAACCCTCTCCGCCTTTGAGTGCCATTCAATAACTACAGTTCTTCTTGTCGATAATCCTCTTTCTATAGCTTTGCAATCGAGTCGCCAACTTCTTTCTTGGCCTTTTCTCTAAGAATCTTTCGCAAGATCTTGCCGGACTGTTTACACTGTTAGCCGAATGTTCACACAAGCGACAGAGTAGCAAGACTTACGGGGTTCTTGGGAATCACATCGGTAAATGAAACACCGCCCTTAAGACGCTTGTGCTTGGCGACCCGACCTGCCAGCCACTCTGCAATCTCCTCCCCAGAAGCATTGGTGTCAGCTGACCGGACGATATATGCCCTCGGCAACTCCTCTCCGTCAATGGTAACCCCGATGACGGCAACATCGGCCACATCTGGACGCTCAAGAAGCAATGCTTCCAACTCAGCTGGGGCCACCTGGTTGCCCTTGACTTTGATGAGCTCTTTCATGCGGTCAACGATGTGGAAGAGGCCGCCTGTGCTGTATTCTTCGATGTAGGCAATGTCGCCGGTCCGCAGCCAGCGGTTGCCTTGAGCATCGGTGACGATAGTCTCGTTGGTGGCCTTGGGATTACGCCAGTAGCCGCGCATGACGGTCGGGCCCGTGATCAGGAGCTCGCCAGGGACCTTGGCCTCGGTGATCTCCTTGCCGGTCTCGGGGTCGACGAGCTTGCCCTGGCAGTTCGGCATGAGCTCGCCGACGGAGGCGCTGCGGATCAGGCGGTTCGGGTCCCACGTCATGGCCGTGCAGGTGACCTCGGTCATGCCCCAGCCCTGGCGGACGATGAGGTCCTGCTTCTTGAGAATGCGCTCCGTCTGGCGTGCTACGTCCGCCGCGAGGGGTGCTGCTCCGGAGCCGACGGTCTCGAGGCTGCTGAGGTCGAATTTGGCGGTAATGGGGTGTTTTGTGAGGGCGACAAGGATCGGGGGCACGCTGACGAGCTGCGTGACGCGGTACTTTTGGATGTAGGTGAGCATCTTGACAAAGTCGAAGCCCGTCATGATGTAGACGGGGATGCCCTGCTTGGCAAAGTTGGCGACAAAGTACGTCTGCGCGTAAGCGTGGTAGAGGGGCAGGAAGCAGAGGCCGACGGAGCGGGCGACGGAGGCCTCGTGGTCTGGCTCTAGCGCGGCGACTTTTACGACGCCGGTGCCGTTGGCAACGTAGCTGTAGTGGGAGATCTCGACGCCCTTGGGCACGCCCGTAGTGCCGGAGCTGTAGTTGAGGCAGCACGTCGTCGTGCGCGCGTCGGCCGGCTCGACCCACTCGAACGTCTCGGCCCGCGCCCTCGGGGCGATGAGCTCCGTCCAGTGGCGGGCGCCGCCCCGCGCGGGCTTCTCGGGCGCGCTTGAGCCGGGCACTGTGGTGTCGAAGACGAAGACGTTGCTGGCGGGCATGGAGACCTCCTTGGCCGCCTCGAGGGCGGTGTCGAGGCTGCCCTCGGCGGCGACCATGAAGGTTGCGCCGCTGTCCTTGAGCTGGTAGGCCAGTTCGCGGGGGACAAAGGTCGGGTTGGCGCCAGTGAATATGCCGCCGGCCATGAGGACGCCGAGGAATACGACGGGGAAGAAAAGGTTGTTGCCCGAGAAGAGGAGGACGCGGTCGCCGGGTTTGAGGCCCGCCGCTTGTAGGCCGAGGGCGATTTGCTTCGCCACGAGGCGGTAGTCGGAGAAGGTGAGGAAGTGGGTGTCTGGTCTATCGCCGTCATAGAATGCTTTGCGATCGGAGAGGGGAGCTTTGGAGGAGCCAAAGATCCATGTCTGCAGCGAGCAGTTCGGGATGGGCTCCGACCACCGTGATTCGATAGGCATGTTGAAGTGTAGATGTGTGGTTTTGTCCAAACGATAGCTTGCCGCCCGACGGGTTTTCAAGAGGATGCTATTACTCAAGAAAAATATGAGGATGTAATTCCAAGTGAGGCGTTTGGCGTTTGTGAGGTAGGTCTGTCGTCTTTTGGAGATTCGAGCGTGATATGAAGCCCTCTCCGGATGCGGGACGGAAGGCAAGCGGACGCCACTGTTTGAAGGGACCTGCTGCAATAAAGTTCTGAGCTTCTCTGGTGATCCCAGTCCTTGACTTGACCGCGGCTCGTCGGATTGGAAAAAGGAATATGATATTACTGAACTTGTTTGAGTCAGCGATCGTGAGGGGTGTCTCTGTGAGAGAAAGGGCAGGACCCGCAACTTACAGTTTGTCTTATCACAGAAAGGATCTGTCTTCGTCTTTTTATTGTCTACAAGGAAGGAAGAACCAAGACAGGTAGCAGCCGGCAGACGCTCAGTTGAAATAAATACCACCAGGGCCATGAGGAGATGGGGAAAACGGCAATTCGAAAGTGGATTTCTCTCTAGTCCCATTACCACTGCATGCCTACGGATACCCTTCCAGGCGAAGGAGCTCCAGACGAAACCCCAGATAACTAACCCCCCGCGCTCTCCTATCGGCCAATGGCCGAGTCTATCCCGGCGAGACCATGGCTTACAAGTGATGCATCTAAACCTGGGGGGAAGCACCTCCAGGCTTCGTGACGCTAGATCTCCGCATCAGACCCCTGTCGATGCGGGGGTTCTAAGCTATGCGTCTGGGCAAAGCTGGGGAAGATGGGAGAAGAACCGAGGCATGGCGGGTAATCCGTAGTACGAGCTACCGGAAAAGTTGGGGATTGAAGAGGAGTAAAGGCACGGCGTAAAGACCGGACGGACGACGACACGTCTTGTTTCCTGAAAGGGTTTCCATTTCGTTCAACTTGCGATTGGGTGCCACACCCACTCGCTCTTGTCTGATAAAGGTCTAGGACGAATCGCGGTACCAACCGACCCCAGGCAATCCAGGTCCGGAGACTCGCTTGTGCAAAGCACCGAGATACAGCGAGGTGTCCATTAAGGTCTCTGTTGGAGACGAGAGCTCTCAGTTCTGCCGTGATCTGCCTCAGACGATGAAATAGAGCCACAATTGGGTAATCCACTGCCGGAATGGCGAAGAACGTGCGCGAGAGCTTCCAGGTGCTCCACCTGATGTCATCCAGTGACCTTGTCAGCGGACAGAAGCGGCTACTATTGTGCCCTCTCTCACTCTTCTATGTACTCTTGGCAAGCTTAAACTAGACGTCTCGTCAAATGGAAGTATTCGCAATTGAATAATGGGATCCCTAGGGAGGTGTACGAGTACCCCAAGATCGTGGTCGCACGAGATTTGAGGCTTGAGTCAACCTTGCATTGGTCAATCGCTGCCGTTCCAACCGACATTCTGGGTGGTCTTGACAGCTTCTCCATCTTTGTAAGCAGACTAATCCAGAGACGGCCAATGTCTCGCTTTGGAGCCGCCTCCGTCCGAGGTAGAGGCTCGGTTGTGATTCAGTAGCAACGTCTGCAAGAAATGGGGTAGAATTTAGGAGCTTATTGCTTCCTTAGTAGTATGTTAGCCTTCTGTCGGCTTCAGATAGCTTGCTTCATCGCCGTTTTGCAGAGTTCTTTGGTTGATCGCCCAGGCCAGACTTGCGAAAGGAATACCTGCAAAAGCTGAGATATCTGGCTGTGCCGGTGACATTGAGACACGCCGCGGATAAAACGGGTCCCTGCATAAACCCAGTTGTGCGCGAATTGTGCAAGTCTCAATGACGCTTACTCGTCGACCTTTTGCCTCTTGATGCCTCCACCGACCCAGAACATTACCTAAGCACGCAGTAGTCGGCTCGACCAATCACAGCGATCCATTATCCAAGCAGAGCTCACGACTTTTGAACCTCCCGAATCTAAACGAACAGCACATATCCGCACTATCCCAAAGCCCAGCGTCGCCTGTCCTCCTCGCTCTCTCGCCGCCATCGCCAATTGAGCAGCCACTCACCGTCCCTCGCCATGGCCTTCAGACTCTCTCCTCTCCTCTTCAGATCAGCCCTCCGCTCGGCAACGTGTCGGGCGGCGAGGCCTCAGTTCCGCGCCTTCTCCCTCACAGCCGTCCGCCCCAGTGACACCCTCCAAGTGGTAAGCCGCCTCGCTTTCCGACGTCAATTGTCCTCGTAGCAATGCTGCAAGGGCTCTCCGACGTTCCGAAATTGCTGCTGGCGTACGTCATCTCCCGAGTCAATCGCTAACGCTCTCATGTCCGAACAGCACCGCGACTCCCCGAAAAACAACGCCGATGTCCCCTTCAAGTTCACCAAGGAGAATGAGGCCGTCATCGACGAGATCCTGAAGCGCTACCCGCCGCAATACAAGAAGGCCGCCGTCATGCCCATCCTCGACCTCGGCCAGCGCCAGCACGGCTTCACCAGCATCAGCGTCATGAACGAGGTTGCTCGCATGCTCGAGATGCCCCCCCAGCGCGTCTACGAAGTCGCATCCTTCTACACCATGTACAACCGCACTCCCGTCGGAAAGTACTTCATCCAGGCCTGCACAACTGTAAGTCCGCTATTCATCTGCGATATGTCCGCTCGACCTGTACAATCGGCACTCTCCGAAGGTCTCGCAGTCAGGTTATAGCGGGAAAGCGACATCTTTGATATACCTAATTGCTGCGGGAACCTTCAGACCGATATCACACTTTTCAAGTAGAAACAGGCATCGTCGCTAACACTTAAAAACAGACCCCCTGCCAACTTGGCGGCGTCGGCTCCGACGTAATCGTCAAGGCCATCATCGACCACCTCGGCATTAAGCAGGGCGAGACCACAAAGGACGGCCTCTTCACCCTTCTCGAGGTCGAGTGCCTCGGTGCTTGCGTCAACGCCCCCATGGTCCAGATCAACGACGACTACTACGAGGATCTCACCCCCGAGACGACCGTCCAGCTCCTCGACGCCCTCAAGGCCACCGCCGCCGCCACCGGTGGTTCCGCCGCCGCCCAGGTCCCCAAGCCCGGCCCCATCAAGAGCGGTCGCCAAACCTGCGAAAACTCGAAGGGTCTGACGAACCTCACCTCCGAGCCGTGGGGCCCCGAAGTGACGCGGAGCGATTTGTAAGAAAAGTAGTGTCACGACCCAGAGAGAGAGAAAGAGAGAGAGAGAGAGAGAGAGAGAGAGAGAGAGAGAGAGAGAGAGAGAGAGAGAGAGAGAGAGAGAGAGATAGAGAGAACAGCGGACGAACAGAGGATATGCGAGGAGAAAAACCTTGACGCATGCGCGTACGTTCGGGATAAGCCCACGAAATGGGGCTCAAAGCGAAATGGAATAGAGCCGGTGGGAGTCCGGCTTGTATATAAAACACAAATGTGCTGTATTCGGAATGCATGGGATCGGTTTAGAGATTCATTTGTCTTCTGTCCTTTGCCCCCCCGGAGACCGCGGATATCTGCCTAATTTCCCATTTTTATTTTATTTTGTTAAAACGTGATAAATTGTTCTTCATTCATCATTTGCTATCGACTTGCCGCTCGAAATCTGCTTAGTTTGATATATGAACCTTGGAACCAAAACCCCGACCATCTACTGTATGCAGTTTTTATGCAATTTGAGACTTGACACCCTCACTCGGGGATTCTCAAGATCCAGCCGTCTCGCAATCTTTTGTTTTCAGAGCTCAATCCTCCCCAGACAACGACGCCAGCCTCCTCCACATCGCCCATCGCCGCCGCCGCAAACCACCCGCGCGGCGCAGGCTCGCTGTCGTCGTTATCGTCGTCGTACGGCTCCGTCGACAGCCTCGTCCACTTGCCCTCGCCCGTGGGACGGCCAATGGCCTGCAACATGGCGTCGCGCACGCTAGCAGCCGTCATGCCGAGCGGCGGGACCTGGAATGCCCACACGTCGTCCCACATTGCGCCGGCGCCGGCGTGGCCGTCCGCGCTGGGCTCGCGCTCGCCCATGATGAGAAGGAGGTACTCCCGGCCGGCGCCGACAGTGACGGCCTCGAGACCCGCTACGCTGCGGTGACCGGGCCACGTTTGGCCCGGGACGAGGTGGATCTCCTGCTCACCAGCACCGGTGGCTCCGGGGGTTGCGCCCGCGCCCTGAGCGATGCTCTGCCAGCCGCCGCGGCCGTGGACGGCGATCTCGCCCTTGGAGACGCCGTCGTCAAAGGTGTCCATCTCGAGGTGGATGAAGTCAAGCTGGCCGCCGATTTCGCCCTTGCCGTCATACCCGCCGAAGCGGAATAGCCGGCTCTTGCTGACGGTGATGGCAGCGCCGCCCCGCGCGGGGCCGGGCGCCGAGGGCAGCTGGCTCCACACCCGGCTCCGCACGTCAAAGGCCCAGAGGTCGTTTGTGCGTTCCCCGTTGGCGAGGCAGCCTGCGTGGACGAAGAAGGTGCCGTAACCGTCGTCCTCCTCGTCCGTGGCGTTGACCGCGGCGTGGCCTACAATGGGCGCCTGGGGAATGCCGACGTCGGCGCTGTCGCCCTGGGCCCAGGCCCGCCAGGTCTGCTTTGCGCGGGCGTGCTTGGGGGCGAAGTCGCGCGGGCGGTCGGTGGCGGCCGCGGAGTGGTAGCTGCGCGGGGAGGGCATGGGGAGGTTGGTCACGCCGGGAGCGGGCGGTACGGGGTCGAGGAAGGACCAGGAGTTTGTGCGGGTGTCAAAGACCCAGACGCGGCCGGCCTCCTCAAGGGGTGTCATGTCTGACCCGCCACGGCCGCCGTAGAGGAAGATGCGGCTGCCGATGACAGCGGTGGCATGACCGACGCGGGGGCCCGGGACGTCGCCGAGGACGGGGGTTTCGGGTAGGGCGGGGCCTTTGCCTTTGTCCGCTGCGGTGGGCGCACTTGTGGTTTGCTCGCCGGCTCCGAGGGAAGAGTATTCTTCCCCTTCTTCTCCGGTGACGCCTGGTGAGGCGAGAGATACCTCGTCGAGGAGCTGTTCCTTCAGGGCGGCCTTCTCCTCGACGTCTTCGCCGGACGCCTCGGGTTTCTCATCGTCAACCTTCTCTTCCGACAGCTTCGCCGCGGGCTCGGGGTCGGCGGGCGGTGTATACTGCTTTGCAGGAGCAGACTTGATCTTGTAGTAGTCGGCGCCGGCGCTGTTATAGGGAAGCCTAATGACGTGGACGTCGTTGTCGACTGGTTCGCGGGGGTTGACCTCGCCGCCAAAGACGTAGGCGGAGCCGTTGACGACGTTGACGGTGTGGGAGGAGCGGGCGAGGGGCGGGACGTCGATTCGTTCCCATGTGCCCTTCATTGGCTTGGGACCGGTGCCGCTGGACAGGGACGGCCTCTTGACATTGGGCATATTGGGTAGGTTCTGCGGGAGAGATTGGAGGATCTCGGTCGTCCGCCGCTTGAGAGCTCCAAAAGACTCCATGATTGCTGTTTGGCGCTGCTTCAGGGTATGGAATATCGTATGCCAGGTGACAGAGAGGAAGGAGAGAAAAGAGTGGGCGGAATTGGGTCCAGATGAAGTCGGGTTTGTATGCTGACTGCGTTTGCTGATGTGATGTCCGGGGATTGGCCTTAATGATATGACGTAGCGAAGCGGTGCTCTACTCAGTTCAGCTCAGGGTGCCTCTTTTTTGGTGGGTTGTAAGCGGGCAGTGTAAACAAGCTCCGGATGCGGATCAAACGGCGATGAATGGGTGAGAGAGAGAGGGAGCAACGAAGGCAATAGCAAGTAAGATAGAATCTGGTCTGACAGATGATATGGGAGATGGATCATTGGCAAAGAGAGTTTCCCCCTTTCTAAACTATCCAAGGTAAGGCAGGTTGCCATCTCGTTCTCTCGTATCACACAGACGCTTGTTGCCAGCGGCGCGGGCTTTGTGCGATGGAGGATGGCTCAGCTTGCAGAGGGAAGCGGGGTGCGGGCGCAGGCTTCCAAGAGCTACCCGTCCTGTTCATCCTATCAGGGACGCCATACGCATGCCTGCCGTGCATCTGAGCGGACGGAGCCAGGCACCTATGGTCGGCAGTGCTGTTGGTGGGGTTTCCTCGCCGGATTCTTAGCAGGGGACCTCCCGTTTTTGGGGGTTCACTGGCAGGAGGAGACCCTGATTCTAGGTGTTCCTTGGAAACGCAAGCTGGAAATGGGACTCAATTGAGGTGTACAGTCATCCAACTGCCAACCTGTTTCGACCCGGGCAGCGATCCTTGGCTTTCATCGCCCGGGAAACACGCTCATCAAAACATGTTTCGCAAACCTTACGGATATCGCCCAGGGCATCCTTTTGTTGATCGCCGGGCAGACTGACGGCAGCCCAACTGAGAGAACACCAACGGTGCCACAGCATCCCCCCCTCTAGACACGACCCAGCATGATCCCACCTTGGCCCCTCAATAGCTGTATATTGGAGACAGCAATGCCCAATCACAAGCTGATCTCGTAGACAAACGATCGCATGCCTTACACGTTATCTGTACCCAGCAGATAGAAATCCTCGTATTGCTCGTTCCTTGCATTCGCTTCGAGTTTTGCGGGACCGTTTACACCAAAGCCGCCGAGTCATCGGGCACAGGCCATTTCTATCGCTTTGTTTCTCTCCTGTCAGCAGCATCTGATTATCATCTCAGCGCCCGCTTTTTGGGGAGCCACGAGGCAGTTCTCGATAGAGGCATTCGGCTGTTTGGCCGTTTAACGGCTGGTTGCCCTTTTCTCACAATAGCTACCTGCTTAGGGACGTGAACATGTAAGACAGATAATTACTACGTATCATTCTGCCTAAGCGCCCTTCATCAGGAAGGTACTCAGGTAAGAGTATGCCTGCTCATCGGCTCTCCGGTCAGGGTGACCTCGGCCCGGCCATCAAGGCTACTACCCGGTTTCGCCGCCTCTTTGACCCACACCGGCTCCGGCCCCGTAACCCAGAGCCGTCCAGATACCGGACTATACAAATGACAACGCCGAAACCGCACCGTAACAATGTGGCACATGCCGCTACAGAAAGAAAAGTACCGAAGCATCAAAAGCCACCCGCTGGACCGAGAGAACCGGATTACGTAGCTGCTTACCGTGGCGTTCTTCCTCCGAGAAGGATTCCGGCTGGATTCCACCCCCTGCTATTCCAAACGACGCGTGACAGCTTGTAAGTGCAATCCTGACACCTTCCTCCAGAGACTTGGAGCTCGTTCCAGAGCCATGTTTCAGCTTCTAGATCCGCGATCTTACCTTTGATCAACCACGATTTCGTTGGGCTACGGCGTGTTGGACGTTCAGGCTAGCACTCAGCTACGGAGGAATACGAACCACACATGCATAAGACTATCAGACTATCACTCGAGATAGACTCTGAGACCGAAAAGCCCCTTATATTGAAAATAGCTATTGAAGAACATCGTCATCAGTAGGAGCCAAGGGGAGAAAGTAAGACCTGGAGGGCTGCTTTCTACGTTGGAACACGAGGCGGCGTACAGTAGCGCAACAGAGAGTGCAAATGCCGGCACATAGTCCCTTCAATCAGCCTCAGCCGCGAAAAGCACCCTATCTATCTACCAGGCAGTAGACTTTTCCATTCCATCCCGCTCTCTCAAGTCCAAAATAGTAAGATGGCCGCCTCACGCCGTCCAAAGCTTTCACCATCGTCGTCATAGATCCCCAGCCCTGTTGGTTGTACCTTATTTTTGGGGGCCATGCCGCCATGATCATGCACACACACCCCGGTTTGCAACGTACCATCCATCGTGCGCAAAGCTACCCTCAAGAAGGAACACATCCGCGGCACTGCCCAACGCATGGAAGGGGGGAATAAAGAGCTCATCTAGATAAACGCTGCAGGCGCAGAGCCATCCATTCTGGAGCGCCGTGCTTGCATCGGGTCGGCTAACGTACCCACCGTAGCAGCCGCCGCGGCGCAGTTACCAGAAGTGCAAGAAAAAGAAAAGAGTGAAAAGTCGCAGGTTGCGAGGTGCTCGTTTCGCTTCGCGCACTCGCGCGCGGGATGGACGGGAGGAGGTGTGAACGGAGACTGACACCGTAGATGTGTGTGTTCAGTGCTGGCAGATGGTTGTGGTCCAGCCCGGCCCAACCCAGCCCCCCAAAACCGGAGAACCGTTGGCGGCATGCGAAAGAGCTGCGTTGCGTGGCTAAGCCCCTCCATCTCCGTCCGCGCATACGGCGCGCGGCGCGGGTGGGAAGGCATGGTACGCATGGTAAGGTGTCTAGGTAATCACTCTGTTCCATTCTCTGGGTGTTGATGTGTTCGATGGAGTTCAGCTTTGCATAGACCGATCGGCCGGTGTGTCCAACGCGTACTAGTGCTGACGGCTTGTCGGTTCCGCCTTGGGAAGAGAGCTTCCCACGCTTCCCTCTCCCCGTACCGTCTTAGCCCTCTCGGTCTCTATCTCTCGATCCGTGTCTTGTACTTTTTACTACTCCGTGTCTCGTCTAATCCCCCCCCCCCCCCTCTCTTCCCTGCCTGGTACCTATTACTTAGCGTTCTATCTGGGCCGCGCCGCTGCGGCCAACAACCAAGAACACCACTCCACCACCACCCCATAGGCGTCGGGTGAGAAAAGGAAAAAGCAGAAACGGCAGAGAAAAGAAGACAAGGGAATAAATCCGGGTTTCTAGGTTGTAACTCCGTAATTCGACACATTGGGGGCCGCGGGGAAGGCAACTGCATGTACTTTGTCTTGCGTCTAAGTCTTACACAACTCACACCCCCCTCCTCCTCCCTACTCTTCTCTCTTCACCCCGGTCTTCCTATTCCTACGGATGTTCCTTCGCCCTCTTCGAGAGCCCTACGGGATATGAGATGAAAGGAATGGAAACGAAGGAATCCGTGTCAGAACTTAGATCGATGGATGGGCGATGGGCGGCCCAACACGCGCGGCGGGTACGGCTACCTGCCTACCTACCTTACCTCTACGTACACCTACCTACCGCTTCGTTTTACAGATCTATTCCACTCATGGGGACGGTAGAATAATCCGGAACGCTTCTCTCATGCAAGAGATAGGGCGAGCGTAAGGTATCTACAGTACAATCCAATAGCCAAACAGAAGAACAGGTCAGCATTCTGCCCATCCTTAGAGGCTTAGAGTCGTTCCCCTCCATCCGTTTCCTCTCCACCCCCCGTCCCCATCCCTTACGTCGGACGTGTCGATTAGCGCCCAGGGCGGAAAGCTGGGCTGGGCTAGGCATGGGAAACCGCAACGTGAGCCGCATTCCTCGGGGGTTTCGCTGGCCGCCCACCCAACTCGAGGTTTCCTTCCCAGTGAACGGACGCTCGCTGCTGTTGGTGTAGGTGTAGGTTAGGTGTGGTTGACTGGTTGTGGGATTCTAGTGTGGGACGTAGTGAACCCGTGTAATAGTGGTGTAAGTGGTCGTCTCGTCGTGTATGTCGAGTGAGCGGGCGAGAGTGTTGGAGCCTCACGGCTCCTTGCTGCCGCTACCGCTGCCGTTCTCCTCGAGCAGCCGCTGGTCAGGCTGGGATAGTGCTCAAACGCCAGCCGGATCCCATGTTTGAAGCAGCCACGGGCGCGTAGATGGGCGAGGTAACTGGGGACTGGCGGCTCCGTTGGTCTAGAAGCGCGCTTGAGTATGGGTTTCCTTGGCCGCATCGTGGGAGAACTCTGCGACGGAGAGGTGCAGCGCGGCAATGAAAACTAGACTAGGATGGCATTCCGTGGCATGGGTTACCGGGGGAAAAAAGTTTGTAGTTCTCTCCTGTTCTTGCTCGGTTCAATTTTTCAGGTGGGATTGTGAAAGTGTATCTCTGAGCTTGGTGATCCTGTGAGATTGACATCCCTCTTTTTCGCTGATGGCAGAATGGGTCGCTAGTCATTGCAAATCTTGAGGTAACTAAGCACTTGAGTTGGAACGGAGGTATAACAAATTGGTATCAATGCAGTAACTATCAGAAAAGGCCAGATCATGACTATGGATTGTATCCTGTTCTCATTCCCGCTCCAGTATGCCAGCCAACTGTATATCCGCTAGAAATGAAAGTCTCTTTTCCCCAAGTCGCATTACTCCTTCGCGATCTTCCCAGTTGTAAACGTAGAGAACTCCAGCCATGGAAGGCGTTCCGACAAGTTAAATGAAAAAAATATGAAGAAAAAGGTATCTAAAAAAGAGAAACTTTAATGAAAACACAAACAAACCTTGAACTACCGAGATGCCAGTACGGACAACTCTGAAGTAACAAGTAACGTATAGATGATCAACAACAACCATGAAGACTGGATGATGGAATGTAAATCACTCTTCGTCCTCACCCTCGGCATCCTCGTCGGAGCATACTGCAACAACAATTTCCTTGTGAACAGTCGAGTTGGTGGTATTGGTACTGCACCCCTTGCCGTTGCCAGCAGAGGGACCAACCTCTCCCTTGAGCGGGTTAATGAGTTCCCATTCGGCTGCCATGTTTCGTGTCCGCCGGACAACGTAGACATCAGCGCTGGAGGCCCATTGTGTGAGTGTCAGATCGTGCTCTCCGCCAAAGTGGACCATGGGCTCCTTTCCCTCGGCGGCGCGCTCGAGGTGCCGCGCGACGTGCTCCATGCGTTCATCCCAAGCCTGAGGTCCGTTGAAGTCGTGTCCACAGTCGGCAGCGGGGCAGCGCATGTATCTCGGGAGATCGCAGCGAATCTTCTCCGCGTCCGTCTGAAGACTCTTGAGGTGCTCGTCCCACTCGGGGGTGGGCTTCTTCTGCTTCTGGGCCTTCCGTACATGGGGCGGCACATGCATGCGTCGAACGTGTTGTGTATAGAGATCTTTGCGGTTGAAGATGGCGCCGTTTGGTAGGGCGGGTGGCGTCGGTGTGACGGAGCAGGAGGAAGAGGAGGAGGAGCGTCGGTTGGTGGGTGGGTTGGTAGTTTTGGAGCAGCCGTCTTGATCGCAAAGCCAGTACTGGAGAGCCAAGTGCTGAGAGCTTACGTGACGCTTCCATTCGTTCTTGCTGGCAAAGGTGGATGGGCAACCGGCGTAGTTGAAGACGCACACAAAGGGGCGGGTATGATGTTGCTTCATGTGCTTCTGGTGGGTGCTCTCGTCGGAAAAGGGGGTTTTGCACTCTTTGCAAAGGATTTTGGGGTTTCTCATCGACGAAAGTGTTGCGTTTAGTCTCGTTGACGATAGATTACCGATGTCGTTGTTAACCTTTGATCGCTTTCGTTCATGAGACGAGCCGGAGGGGCGAGCCGGAGACCTGGTCGTGGTGTTACGGGAACGTTTTCTCGAAGGCTTGGGCTTGTAGTCCAAATCCTTGTCGTCGTCGGCGGCAAGAGGCTCGGCCTTGATCTCTGGTTCAAAAATGTTTGTACCGTTCGATTCAGGGTCAGGGTAGTTTGGATGAAATGGGAGGTCGACCATGGTTGCCTCCTGCTTGATGACGGGCTCCGGGGTGATTTGCCGTGACGAGAAAGTCGAGTGCTGGGCAACACTGGCCTCGTCAGACTCTGAGCAGCAGAAGCTGAAGGTTGCGGCATTCTCAAAGCTCGTTGAGACTACCTCCTTCTCGAACATGTCGTTCACTTCGTAAGGATTAACACAGGTATTCCCCACGTCCATTCCAAACAGCGCCTGGGTCTGCAGTTGAGATTCCCAGCTTCCAATGAACTGCTTGTGTGGTAAGAAAGGAGAAGTGGCCGAGTGGTCCGGGGGAGTTGCGGGTAGGACGTCACTCTCTGTGGGTGGACTATGGGAATCACTGCTGGACAGCGTCTGCTGAGAACACGGGGAACCGTGTCTCCTTTGTGAAGCTGGAGGTAGAGGGTTTGACTCCTTGGTAAATTGGCTCATAGCGAGCATAACTTGGGCATTTTCATGAACGAAGAAGGCTGTGCGTGGTCCATCCATGTATTGTTGAATCTGATGAGTTTGGTGTGTCGGCCATGGAGTTTGACATTGCGAATGGGAGAAGGACACAAGGCTAGGGTCGACTGGTCCAGGGGAGCTCGAGGTTGTTGAGCTTCCAAGGTAAGCCATGGGCATCTGGCTGTAACTCTGGTCTTCGTAGTAAGGTACCTGGTCCTGGGTAAAATGTCCTCCTTGGACATTGTCATAGTAATAGGCCATGTTGTGTGCTTGTCTAATATGGAAGATCTTAGGTTCCAATGGTAGTATACTCCAACGGGTCAGGACAAAACCCTGAATGTGAAACTCCTTGGGAGGGCAAATGGTAGGGAATATCCCAATGGAAAGACGTTGTGGTGTTGATACGATCGTAATAGGTGATTTATCCAAGGTTAGACCAAAGAGCTGTTGATGTTGTAAAGTTGAAGGATGTGCCGCGGACTAAAACGAAAGGACAAGGCAGTTATAAGTGAGTGAACAATGCAACAAGTGTAGGAATATAGAGAGAGTTGCTGTTTTCGTTCTTGGTCTGAACATCAAGAGACACGATAATGTCATCGGAGACCGACCAGCGTGGCGGAGCATGATGTATATAAGTCCACGAGTTGGGTTGGCATATTGGTAGCACAGGGGATGCCGCAGGGCAGTCGCCTAGGCGTACCCAGCAGTAGAAACCTCTTGGGGACAGGAAAAACCCCATTGGCAAGAAGTACGTATTTTTGCAGAGCCTCATGTGGGTACCTACTGAGGGCCAGCGAGGAGTGCGAGCCTGTGAGAGCAGATTGAGAGACGAGGAGGAAGAGGCAAGGATTTGCGGTGGATGGCCATCATCATCAGGCGCTGCAGAGCGCATATGCACACCCCTGGAGCCAGGACTGTGGCAGGGAATACGTGTGGTTACGGGCTGGCACACCATCAGGGACTAGTCTCTAGTGGCTGCAGCAAATTGTGTGTATTTTTTCTGTATAAAATTATACAGTTCTGTTCTGGCTGGTCCAGCTCCTCTTTGGGGGCCGGGTCGCGAACCTCTGTTCGGTCAAGGGGGCAGATGGAGGGTGGTGTTGGAAGAGGGTGGACGAGGGGAGCCGCCAGGGCTGCGGCTGCGCCTGGTTCGGAAGACGAACCCCACGGCCGACGGGACGGATAGCTTCTGAGCTTGCCTCTGATGGGTTGATTTAGCCATGGCATCCGTTGCCTCCAGGCAGATACCACTGGGTTGCCTTACTCCAAGTTGCCTTGTTTCTGACGAATGGGGAATGACTTTACAGAATCATCACCGAAGCTCGTCAGCGAATTGCAGTGTCAGTGTCTGCGAGTCGACCCACGTTGACAACGCAATCCTCGACAGACGGGTCAAGAGTTGCAAGACACACTGTCTATCCCAACCCTTATTTTGACTGCCTCAGCCGCCGCCACAAAGAGGTTGTGTCTGTCTAGAGAGCACTGCGGACGTCATTGATGATCCTTATTAGGGATGGCCGGTCAGCTGTGTTTCTGTGATATTGGCACTTGGGCGTGATAAGTCGGTCCCCTACAGTCCAGGTAGTTGATCCATTTTAGCAAGACTGAGCCGGGGATTTGAATTATGCCGGGCGAGATGTCCGTCTGTACGACGTCTTGCGAGCGTCGGACCCTCTCGATTTCATGCATGACGGACTAGGTCGAGAAGCTGCTTGGCTTGCTTGGATGGCGTCTAAGGGGTTCAGTAGAGAAGACGTGGAAAGAAGGTGTGTGCCGGGTGTTCCGTTGAGGAATGAGAAATGAGGAGTCGGTCGAGATACTTGGCTTCTCCGCAGCACATTTACCAGGTAATCGAAGACATCCCGGACTGGCTAGACGACGAGATGAAGACCGAACGAAGGTCTCAGCGTGGCATAGAGGCAATACGCCAGGTTGACATGTCCCTATTTCCCTTGGAAATGATGAAGGTACGAGAATTGACAGAAGCAAAAATGACAGTGCAGGGTAGAGATGATGGGCGAAGAAGGTACCAGGAAACGCGCACTCGCGCAGGAGAGAAGCAATAGGGGAGCGAAGTTGGAATGAGAGATTCTAGACAGCGCTTGGCCAGGACATGTCTCGAATCGGAGGATGTCAGAATGTAAAGCTGCTGTGGTACGGTAGACGGTTTGCCTTGAGGTGGCCCATGGTCGAAAGTGACGGATACTACCTTGATGTACGGATACCTAGCATGGTATCTAGGGGCCCATGGCGGTGGAGAGGAGCGGACAGGACTCTTCCACTATTTGTAGGAGGAGCATTGGTACGCCGTAAGTTGATAGGTGGAGGAGGGGATGGGGCAAGACGGGGACGGGGAGTGGAACGGACGGAGCTTGGGTGCGACGGGAGTGATGAGAAGAGAGAGAAACAGAGAGAGACATTCGGAGGCCCAAGACTTGGGAGAGACAGACGGAAGGAAAGACAGCCTAAGATACGTATCAATACCTAGGTAGGCCTAGTCGATAGCAGCCATCGGAAGGTATTCACATACCTACCTACAGGCGAAGCCGTATGGGATGGTGAGGTACCTAGCGAGTGCGCGGGTTGAGGATGAACAGTCGACAGCAACTGGATGTATGGAAGGCATGGCATCGCGCAGCTGCGCGAGAGTTCCGCTGGACGTGTCCACGCCATTGGCCCCATCGACCCATGAGGCATACCTACTCCCAAATAAGGCGGCCGCAGGCTGACTAGTGCAAGTCGCAAAAGGACTGGGCATATGGATGAGTGGTGAAGGTGGGGGAGCCATTGAGCGAGATGGGAAGAGGATCGAGAGATTCGGGAAGAGGAGAATTCCAGATACGGACCCCACCTCACCGTCGATGGATCCATGAGTCCGTGACGATGTATTTGTTCCTTCCTCCCTTCATGGAGGCCTGTTGATGTAGGTAGATGGATGGCGCCTTCATCGATGCAACTTGTTCGTTGCCTGGAGTATGGGTACCACCTTGAGGGTACCTAGTGATTGTGCTACGCAGTAAGTACCTGCGAACTGATGGGCAAACTTATGTTTACGTAAGGCAAGGAAGGTGAGCTAAGCAAATGCTACGCAGCCGTGGCAGCGTGGCAGCGTGACAGCTTCCTTCACTATCTACCTAGGACCTAGGTACTGTGTATCCATGGACCTTGCCCTACTTGCCCTGGATCATCTCAATGCTTGCTGTCAGCCACTGGGCAGAAAAAAACGTATCCCGACACTCCATCCCCTCACTTCTTCCCGTCCTCACAACGCAACGCAACGCAACGCAACACAAATCCGACATCCCGCCAAGTGTGGATTTCTTGTGTAACCTCCCAAGCCCATCCTGTCATTACCACGCGGTCCACGCCTCCAATCTGGCACCCACCCACTCCCTCTCTGACTTCGTTATCAGTGAGGACGGGACCGTCCCGCAGCAAGCTCCATCGCACATCTACCCTGCCCAGCGCCTTTTAAGGCAAGCCATTCGGCCAACGGGCTTACACGCTGGAAAGTCTGGGACTGATCCCAGACTCCCAGTCCACCCTACCTACCACCAGTACCCCGGTGCTCCTGGCTTGAACCTTGAAGCCGTCTCCACGTCCCACGAGGTCCAACTAGCTGGCCGGATATAGCAAACCGGACGAACTGACGGATGGACGGCGCCACGCTAAAACGGACACTAGACGTAGGATATTCGGACTGTCTTCCTGGCCCCACAAACACCGACGACCCCCGAACATTATTGATATTGCCAACAACCCTGACCCCTCGCTGGGCTGATGGATTATTCCATCATCGCTATACCTTGAAACACACTTCCCTATCACCGGATAGTCCCCAAAATCCAAATCACAAGAAATGGAACCTCGACTATCTTACGGATACCACCCCCGGGGGTCTTTGGCTCCCGCTTCTCATTGCCAACAAATCGTTACGACTCAGTTAGAGAACGTGGTTGGCCGTGTCTACCTACCTCCCGGCTTCATTCGCCCAACGCGTCCCATCCACTACGGGATCCACCCCCCTTTGGGAAATAGAAGCCTCCATATCCGTACACCCATTCACTGCAATAATGGCCTGAATCCACTTCCACACCAGCACGCCTCTGCTTCTTTCAGAAAGAGCGAATCTTGGCATCTCACAGGGCTCCAGGGTCCGCCTAACGATCGCTCCTTCGCTCCTGTTCCCGTCTTTGTCCCGTCTTCTCCCAGTCAACTGGTATGTTGCCAATACGATTACCGCTTATGGGTACAGTACACGCACAATTGCGCACTTTGTGCTCTGCAGTGAACGCTGATTATCTGAAGATGATCCGTCTACACGCACGCTGAGAAACCGACAACCCCGGACCTGAAGAGCACACACCAGCACCCGACTGGGCAATGTGCGAACTTGCGAAGCGTCGGGGGTCGAAAACCCTAGCTCTTTCGGACTTGCCTGTCGATATCTCATGGGGACCCGACCGACGTCGCCGAAATCAAGTATCAGTACGGAGCGTGGAACAATTTGTTACCCTCGAGAGAGTTGGAGCGTAACAGAATCCAGAGCACTTGTTTGCGGATCTGGCCGTATGATAGCTCGCCGTTGCCCGCTTCCTCCTTGTTCCTTGCCCCGGATCTGCTGTTTCACCAACAGTGGCTAGCCGAATAATTTGACTTTCGTCAAAATCGATTCCTCGCCGGTGTTCAGCGTTACGCGACTTCGAGTCGGGGCCTACCAGACGACCACTTGCTCGGAGATTCCTCGTAAATGTGGTCCAGAGCACCTCAGAACTACTTGCCTGCCGGGGCGGCAACAGGAAAATACAAGGTTAGGGGTTCCTGAGCCTGTACAGATACACTACGGATACTCAGTGGCTTCGTCTCTCATCTCAGGGCTCGTAGGCTCCTCTCCACTGTCTCCAGACCCCAACATCTAGAACAAGGATGACACGGCACAGACTTCATTGGCTAGCCAAGCCAAAGCTGAACACGAAATCACTAAACCACTGAAATCCTCTCAGACAGCAACCATGTCAAGTCGCAACAGGAGCCAGCTCCGCTGAATCCTTGTTTTCGCATGGTTACACAAGCATCCGCAGACAAATTTCAAAGTGAGCTCGCCCATTCCTCGGCCTCGACACTCCCAAGAAGAGGCAATGAGCCCTGTCTTTGAGATTCGCGGCTGTCACATCAACAACTATCGGAGGGCTTACAGTCCAAGGAGAACGCGCCTTCGGAGGTCTATCATGAAGTGATGTCTTGAGTCCTCAATGCACGCGGATCTTATAGCGTTGCCCGCGTGAGTTTGGAGGACTGACACAACTCGCGCAGAGACGAGTACTGTTAAACTGGCGCGGAGTGCGCGGCAATTCTATTCCTGTACGCAAGACTGCGTGCTTTACACCAATCCACGCCAATAACGCCAAAGCCCTCTTCCGGGGCCCTGCTCGCTAATTAGGCATCGCGATTTTGAGACCTACTTCTTCGATTCGCCAACCCCTTGCCTCTTCAACCGGCAGATCAGAAACGAGATAGATCTTGGGCAGCTCTAATCGCTTTTACTCGGCAAGGCGGAGTCATTTTGGTGGTCAAATGCTCTGTTATGAAACGATCTGCAAGCATCCACGGGGAAGGATTCTCCCAAAGGAGACAACACGCCCGTGGTGGTACCAGCTTGTTGGTCCAGAATCCAGTACAGCTTCGACAGATGATCCAGATCGAGGCCTTCATGTTAACTTTGCGTTGACACTCTCAAAGGTACTTCATCGCCCCATGGTTCTCTTCATAGTGGTCCCCTGCAGATGGCCTGATCAAAGTTGACCCCGTAGGGTTTCCGCCAAAGCCCAGAGTAGGATCCCATAACATCCAAAATTCGGGCTTCTTCCGGGGTCGAGATGTACCTGGGTCTTTTTACGGCCGCCCACAAACAAGTAGTAGATGGTGGCATGCGAAGTTGGGCCTGCTCATGATGGCACATTAACAAGAAGATACTCGCCGTCATTGCGTGAGTTTGTTGGATTCGGATCGGCGGGATCCTTAACAAGAGCTGAGGCGATAGCAAGTCAGTACTAGCCCTCGCATAGCGCCCAAGAAGGTGATCGCTTATTGTCTCAGGACTGCATACTGTTGGTCCAGGCCCAGGTCGACCGACATATCCATTCATAATTGTACTGATTGGATGGTGGTATCGTCTACCATCTGCAGTTACTGCGAATACTGTGCTCACTTACTCTCAGCTATTGTCTGGTTGTCATCAACGATCCTGCGACCATATTTGACCAATATTAGAGCATACGGCCGTTTACTATACCCAGGTTCTCAGCAGCTCTACCGCGCGACTGGAATTATTAACAGTCTGATCAAAGTAGCTGCCATCATACAGACAACGAATTCTGAGGACACATTTTCCCACATCCATCGTTCTCCATCGACCCAAGCTTCTCGGCTCCCTTTCCCCAAACGAGCAGTGAGCCACCTCGAAGCACGAAGCATTAGGACGACACACGCCCACAGCGAGAGAGAGACACACATGCACATCCCTACTAGATCCAAGCTCCCAGGGCTGAGAAGACTTCGGGGGAGATGAGAGAAAGCAAGTATGCACAGCCACGTCTTTCTATCTTCCACAAGACGTGTTGCATGTACATCATTGCCATCCCACTCTGCCCTGATTGTTTGCTAACTGCTTCGGACTTGTCTGCGCCTTCTCAATCTTCAACCTTGCCTTGCTCTGCCCTTGCCCTGCCCTGCCCTGCCCTGCCCTGCCTTTGGCGACTGGCGCCCTCCTTCCCTCTCTCACCCCCTCGGCTTCGACATGTTACACAACGTGGGTCACTCCTCCAGAGTCCATACAGGGCAATGGTTCGACTTTTGGATTACGGGCCAATGCCGGGCTGTTTGCTCCCGCTGAGACTTGACCAGCCTGTCTTGCGGCCCCCAAATACATGGAGGCCCCGGTGAGGGGAGGGGGGAGAGCAGCACGGATGACGGGTAGGTTATCTTTACAAGGTGTACCTGGCATGTTTAGATGATGGAAGGGAAGGGGTGGAGGGTGGGAGAGGGCGCAAAATGAGACCGTGCCGAAGAAGTCGTGTCGTGGATAATGGAGGTGAAGAAGCGTGAGATCTACAGGAGATGGAGGGGGTGCCTGTGAACTTTGTTCCCAGCGGTAATGGTGGTGGTGGTGGTGGTGGTGGTCAAACCAGTCCTACGGGATCGGAGCAACGTGTGAGTGAGCAAGGGGCGTGGGGTCCCGGACGGGAATCCGTAGGAACGAAAAGCGTCGCATATTCCAATGGGCAAATGGCGCACGCAGCCCTTTTTTTCTTCTTTTTGACACGGAATCTTGTGAGGAGAGAGCAAACATCAATTTACGCCGTACCCAAAGCCCAGGTCCTGGGAACCGCTTGCCGTCGAAGAAAGGCCCGACGTCCCTCTACAGGATCTCTGCTTCTACTGGCTTCTCGGACCCCGTCCATCCATCCACACAAACATACATATCCCTGAAGATCTCTTCGGCGTCGGCCGCTGCGGGACCTTTGGGGAGTTTGTTTGTGCCTCTTTTTCTACCTGATGCGATGCAGCGTTTTGGACGAGGCCCAAGGAGGAGGACATGTCGAGAAGGAGCTAATGTCTGGTTCCAGGGGCTTTGCTTACTGACATGGTTATTAGTTCTTGCCATGCACACATGTGCATAGACAGCCAGACATACGCCGTTGTCACAGGCATGGATGTCGTATGGCCGAGTGGTAGACATACCCTGAAGACAAAATAAAGGGCTGACGATGAACGGAAGACTCGACAGGGGCAAAGAATGCGACGTTTGATGAGTTGCTTACTGTGACATTGAATGTAAGAAATCATTGTTTGTTGACTGGCGCTATCCAAGACGCCATTTTCTGTCATCCTCCCCTCTCTATTATAACGAGATAAATTGAAAATCCAATACGACCAAGCATTGGACCCTGGCCAAATCCAAGCCAATAAGGGGTTGGAAGGGGGAATCACTGTCCATCGTGGAGCACTTCCATCGTATGTCATCCTTCCGCCATCCATCATAGCTCCATGTCATCCATTACAAAACATCGTATCAGCGCATGCCTATCCAAGGTCACTTTTGGCTGTCAAGTTCCTGGAGAACGAATATCTCTACGCCTGGTTCGAGTTGTCGCCGGTGCTGTTGGCGTCCCTGTCTTCCTGAATCTGAACCCATTTCCCACTGCATTGATCACAACGCACGTGGGAGCAATTCACACAAGCTGAATGCACTTTATAGTCCGCATCCCATTTACACGAGCACTAGACACCATGTTAGCATATCTGGACAGGCCAGAGCGCAGAAATCTCAGGGCTACTCACGCATTCCCACATGAATGTCTTCATCCGCTTACGGCCGGGCTGCTCGGCGCCATCGTCCAGGCCTCTCTTTCTTGACTGACGATTGACACCTCTTCCATTGATCGTCGACTTTCGTGAGCCGGGTATGAATGCAATGTCATCAACTGAGTCTGCATCGCTCAGGTCGTCCGAAGATCCGGTGAGGTCGACGTCTGGCGAGTCGGGATCGACAGCAACCCACTGGGAGTGTTCTTTCTTGGTTAAGCCTTCGCGCCCAGCGTAGTGGTTGTCAATATGATCGAATCTTTCGGCCCAGGCGTTGGCGCCGTTCTTGTTGATGTCGACAATCCTGACACAAAAGCCACACCAGAACTTCGGTTCTCCGTTTCTTCCGACGCGACACTCCTCGAGGACCTTCTCGATATTGGACGAGTCGTCCATCTTGTGTTCCTTTTGAAGATGACTTCGAAAAGTTTCCCGACGATGGCAAACCTTGCCACAACTCTCATTGTCACCCTCAGACCGCTTTTGGGAACATTTCCAAACCTCAAGCTGGAAATGCTGGCTGTTCTCATGACGTTTCCAGTCATTTTTGCTGCCAAATTTCTTCTTGCAGCTGGCAAATGTGCATCCATACGGCTTTTCGTGACGCTTCATATGCTTTCTATCCCTTGGTTAACGACTTAGACATGTGGGATAACAGGATTAGTACGTACTTAAGTTCACACTTGCGGTTGAACACTTTGTCACAGCCGGAGTCCAAACACCGGTGCTGGCCGTCAGCACTGCCGTTTGTCGTCGGTGTAGATCTCTGCAGAGGCGTCTCCATCTGAGACTTCATGAATGTCTCGATGACAGTCTTAGGCATCTTTGAGAGAAAGTCAAACATGTCCTGCTCACTCAGACCCTTGTCTAGAGCTGCGGGAAGCGGCTGGTTGAAAATATGCCCCTCCTGAGCCGAACCCTTGTTGGCAGATTGACTCCTAAGAATAGTCTCGTCCGAAGTACAAGGGACCGAGTTAGTGCCAGTGACCTCGGAATCCAGAGGGTCTGTTGGAGAGGTCTCGAAAATCTCGTTGCGGGCTCTGCTTGATCCATTGGCATTGAGGTTGATATTCAACTTCATCGCGGCAGGAACGCTCGCGGAATTATCTTCACGAGTGAAGTTGGATCTTTGGCTCCTCCGTTCTCCAATCATGGTCCTTGGAGATGGCGCTTTCGAAACTTCTCCAGGCTGTACATATTGCTGGTGGGATTGAGGGCTGTTACAAACCGACTGGCCATCATTGTCGTGCAATGGAGAGTTGGAAATGACCTTGTCCGCAATGGATGGTTCAAGACAGACGTCGGGTGCCGAACCGCCAATCTGCGTCAATGACGGGTCGATGAGGTTGATCTCCATGCCATTCACTGAATCCTGAGGGGAGAGTTGAACATCGTCATAGATTGGCGATGGACCATCGCCCCAGGCCATAGAAGGAGTCTGATAGTACACCTCCGGGCCCACGCCCACACCTTCAAGGACGTCTTGTGTACTTTGGTGGTACGTTTCCCCCAACGACCTCTGGGTGGTTCTGTATCCTGTTAGGCGCCTTGAACAGCTACATATTGTTCTTGACTTATGTTTCTTGACTCACTGGACAACATATTCGCTAAGATCATCCTCGGGATTGTGGGTTATGGAATGCACCCGCTTCAGGTGTTGCCTGAAATTGTCGGCTCTCGGCCATATCTTGCTCTTCGCTGAGCATGTTCCTCTGTAGCAGCGATATCGCGGACCTGAGTTGAAGAGCTCGGGGTGCACACTTCCTTTATGTCTCTCAAGGTCATTTTGGGTGCCAAAACCCTCTACACGGGTACATCCTTGAACATCACACTTGAAGGCTTTCTGGTGACGTTGGTGATGTTTGCTACATAATTAGTGTTAGCGATGTGCTTCTAGAATGGAGCAGCATATGACATCGACACTCACTTCAATTCCGACTTGGTCTTGCAAGGCGCACGGCAGTGGTCACAAACCAGCTTGTTATCGACCGAACCATGATGTGTCACTGACATGGGAGTACCCCCTAGGTTCCAGTGAGACTCGGCAGGCGTTGGGCCCAGTTGAAAGTCCAACAGTTGGCCCGAGATACTGTGAGTGTCTTGACTTCGGTCCACATCGTTGAAGACAGATGCGTTATCAACGCTATGCTTGGTCCTACTCTCATAACCAGAGTCTGAAGGCAAGTATTGTGGTACAGTACCGCATTCTGATGGAAGAGGACTCCTCCATGCGCCCGCAAAGTGAGTCTGATTGCGGCGGCGGGGATCGCCTGAGACATTCAACTGTTGACCTTGATGAGAGTCGGGAAAGATTCCGGGAGGGACCCATGGTTGTGAAGTGTCATTTCCGTAGAAGTTCATCAATGCCCATGGCACTGGTGTCGTCTTCTGTGGAGGAAAGCCCAGATTTGTCGACTTTTCCATACTGGCTCGTGTCTCTGAGCCATGCATAGAGGCCATTTGGTTATGCTTCGTCGGATCCATGACTATAGTCTGAGGCAGGCTTTCATCGACCAGGTCGGCAGAAGTTGGGAAGGAACCGACTGGACTTGATGACTCCAGCTGGGAACTATTCGCATGGCGTTAGGCACATGTTGTATTGACTAGAGGAACGTATGTGTACAGCATTAAGTCAACAGGCACTGGCCCGAACTGAGGTTATAGTCTTGTAGTGCTGAGGGGTTCATTTGATGGACAAAGAGAGGAGGGTAACCAACTCAAGACGGAACCAAAGTCACCTAAACTTGATACCCAACCACCTTTGTGATGTTCAATGCGTGAAGAGGCACTTGACTCGACCCGAGTCCAAGTCCACCGAGATGAGCCGTTCCTCGACCGAATAAGCCTCAGGCCAGCGCGGATAGGGGCGTTGGCCTCTGGATTGATGTTTTCGGACGAAGAGTAATCCGGACGACCAAGCGAAGGGGGCAAAGTTGATGCAGTTCAATTACCGGTCCGTAGTGGGTCGGTCGGAGCCGGGAGAGGACAGCAGATTGCCGGACTAGCAAGACATGGGTAGCTGGGCGACCGAGTGGGCGAAGTATCGCGGGACGCAAATCGCAGGTTGAAAGACGACAAAGTGGAAGAAGCGCGAAGGTTTGTTCAGGCGATATGGGCACGGGCAGGACTTGTAGTCATTCAGGCAAGAGGAAAGGCAGTCAGTTGGCGGGCAGGAATGAGGAAGAGGATGAAGGGCGTGACTGATGTTGAGGAAGGTGCGGCTCGGGGACTCAGTTTGGGGGGACCGGGCCAATGAGGCAACCGCGAGGGCGCAGTCTTCGCTTGTCCGCCCTGCTTTTGGGGTAATTCTCGGTGAGCAGAGTACGCCGTCGCCTCATTCCATCCAATCAACGGTCAAAAAAATGTAGGCAACCACACGAGGCAGCCAGCAAGGCAACCACCGCCGCACCTTACAGGCGTCCCAAAGATGGTTCGCCATTTTTCCACTTCCACCACTGCCACAACCTGAGCCGACCGAACATGGAAGAAAAAGCAAGCCAATGCACAACCGTTCAGAAAAAACAAAAACATAAAGACAGATAACGGATTCGATGAAGACCTTGGACGAGACCCACGATCGTTTATTCGAATGCCAGAACACTCCCTTTTTTTCAAATCGTCCTGTCTCTGTCCAACTCATATGCAACACCTCTGCCACCCACAAACAGTTTACCCTGAATCTGCTGTCTGGGGGCATATCTACACGAGAGTTCGACTCTTGTCTATCTCTCGGCTGACATAACCAGCCTTGGCTGGGGCGCTCAAGACTACTGGAGTCATCAGTAGCCCCTATTGCAATGTAGAGTACAAAGGCTTAGATGGCAATCGCTAGATCGCGGGCTACCATCTATTCGTACTTCCATGGTCTCGATAGTGTCAATCCTTGTCATTGACCCGGGCTGCAACCACCTGTATGGCCATGAAAACAACATAGGTAGGCGACGCCCTCGAGCCTGAAACGCCATCTTTGGGCATCATCGCATCCCATTTTCGGCCAACTATCAGTTGCTAGAGGTTGTCCGTCCACCAGTGCTTACTCCTGTTTCCAGCATAGCAGCTGACCAAGCTTGTCGAGGAGCTTTACGCAAGTGCGCACTCTCTCATCCATGACGCAGCAGCAATGTCTTCATCGCACCACGTTGACAGCCGTGAGCACCACAATGCCCATTTTCACGGTTTCGCCGAACTTCTTTTCTCACAGCTATCCATGTCTATCTGTTCCCTCATTTCCGTTGGGCAAACTGCACATATCCTAGAGCGTGACCGCTTGTGTGGAGGAGCAAGACCTAGACTGAGGTGGATGAGCATCACAGGAAACCAGAGGGCGCTTCGGAAAAGATATGATATGTCATTATTGATGCCGTTCTCCGATGGTACAAACCTTCACCGCGTACAGAGTTTTTCGGAGCTTGTAGATTCATTTCCGATGACCTACCGTTCTCTCGAAGATCGGTAGTCATGGATGTCTGCATATGTACGCGACTACTACACGCTCTGCTGAGCGGGGTCTTGTCCCTTGTTGCACAGTATCACGAGTGCAACATGTTGGCCACGACATTTACTTCCTACCACATGAGCTTTCACTTTTGCGCCGCGCGGCCCCATTGTGTTCTTACGTCTCCAGTATGATGGCATCCATAGATTCTACTTTTGAGGGAATCATTCGGCCGTATCTTCGGATTCGCCTGGGGGCTCGCCCGTCTCGCAGACGGATATTTGATGTTTGCTCTTTGCCAAGGAGCGAACGTCCCTCTCAGCTTACTTAAACCCGCCTATCGGGCCGCTCCGCAAGATGCAAGCGACTTGAAATCCAGCCTGACGGCCTAGACTGATTGGGTGGCACAGGTACCACCCTCTCGGCCGTCAAAGTCTTGACGTTGATCATGTCACACTACTTCCAAATGCGAGACGAACTTGATGCGAATATGGAGGGAAAGAACAAGAGTATCGACCACTGACAACTGACAAGGTAATGGAAATGGTGGTGGCTGTTCGGTTGAGAATAGCAAACATCTGCTGCTATACTGAACAACACGGCGTTTTGACGGCATGGCAAGGTAAGGTTCCGGAGAGCCGCTCAACATCGTGAGATCGATGCTAACAAAAACGTGTTGATAAACGTCTACTGCTCAGCCATCATGTCAACTAAAGATATTTCAACTTTAATCTATTTTGCAACGTATGCAAGACAAAACATTGAGACGTTTCATCAATATATCTGGCTCACTGGTGACTTCATTCCATTGCCTCAAGGCCCGAGGCAGGCTTCAAAGCGCCTCGTGCCGAGAAACGAAGTAGTTCCTGCATTCTCGTCATCTACCCGGCCAGCGGATGCAGTCTTCTCTTCCGGCATGCATGATCCATCGTCTCTATGGTTCAAGAGTAGTCTCCCTCGGGTAGTTTTTGGAGCTCGCAATGAGTAAATAACGGGTGGTCTCGCCCCCACCACTCCACGTTGAACCTGGTCATCCTCGCGAACAAGCATCTCGACATGGCATGCCAACAATATGGCAGCAACACACGCACAGTGTGCCATGTACCCGGGCTTCTCAGCGTCCTTCGGCGAGACCCTTTACGTCCATATGCAGATCGGTTTTCAGATAACATGACAGATGTTGTTGCGGCCGATACCTTGAAGCTTGGGGATCAGATGTATATAAGATCAAGCGAACTCACCAGAGAATGATCAATGGGTTCCTCATCAGATACACTTCCACTTACATCGCCGATTTCGTTCAGATCACAACTCCTTAGGCCTCACTTCTCAAGTTTTTACGCCCCCAAAGTATCACGCTGTATTCAAAAAGTCTCAGCCGTAGGACATTCCGTTAAACGGATCTGGACGGCCAAACTGTACGTCCTCTCGTACCCACGACGTTTTCAAGGAGCTGATTCAAAGATCTCAGCTGCTACTACAACCTTTTTTGGAATAATAACGAGCGCAAAAAACTTGCCCACCAAAACCACCATCTCAAGATGTGCGACTGGGAGGAGTTCCTCTTTACCTGCCACCACTCCGTTCTACGGCTCAAATCGTACTGCCACTTTGCCCGCAACGACCCCGGCCACCAATGCTTCGGCGTCAAGGTCCTTCGCAACTCGTGGCAGCAGAGCGTCCCGTGCGATAACTGCATCTTGTCCTGGCAGGATCAGGGGCACCCGCATTTCGCCGCCGGGCAGCACCGCCAGCAAGAGTTTATTGGCGGCGAGCAGCAACGTCGTCATTAAGTCAGTTCAGTGACGTCCCATCTGTTAAAAGTATCCTTGCGCGCCAGAATAAAGTAGCGTGGATTGTGTTCATTGGGTGAAATGCGAGTATCTTGGAGACGGAGCCTTCATATGCACGTCGGATTGTTCATACAGCAACTGTGATTTCCGAAAACGTTTCAATAAGCAGAGATCTCAAGGGACTCTCCACCCCACAGAATTCTAGGTTTACTTAATTTTGGGGGGAAATGGTAGACCGAAAAGGATCTGGTGGCCACGCTCAGTGTAGTTGTCCTCTTTTCCCATTTCTTACAGGAGAGTCGGTCGGATGACAGCGTTTATCTGTTTAAGCAGGATGATGAGCAGCCTGAGATGCTGTGGTACATGAATCTAGATTTCTGTAGGAACGACCCAAATCTTACACGGGCTTATGCATGTTAAGACTTTAACACGAAGTGACGTGAAGAATGGCATTGGTCTGGTGTTTTTGGAGTGTCTGAATTTGGAGTGCCTAAGATAAAATACCAAGACTCACTCCGGCGTGGTCCTGCAAGCATTCATTACACATCTATCTTGCAAGAGCAGGCAGATTACTCGACAGTATTCGTGACCTTGAATCGGACTCTGAAACGAAGAGAAGAGGCATTGCCGGTCAATGAGGCTGTCAATCTACACGATTCGCTGAAGCCTCGGGTCCCATGAAGATTTGTACTTCAGGACTACACTCCTCCAAATTATGCTACGTGCTATTCTTCAGGCCAGACAGAACCAAATCAGTTTTCAATGGTCGTTTGCTAGAGTGTAGAGTCCCGTACTTCGGCACCTACGCGAGCTAGCTCGCCGAGCTTCAGGAATTGCACTGTCCGTTCTACGCCTCATTGAGAAGTGAGAGATGCACATCCAATGTCCTGAAAAACATTTCACCTTTCATGAATGACTCTGGAAGAAACGATTTTCAGATGACGAACCTTACAGTGTCGGGTTCAATTTGAGGGCGTAAGCACAAGTACTTCGGCAAGGTATGTCGTACAACGGGACAACAGAGATTGAGCTGACCCTATGAGACGGAACTTGGGACGCTGTTAACGCGATCATTTTTCTGCAAGTCAAGTTATAGGAAAGAAGATCAAGAGCTGAAACGCAAGATGATGTTAATGGCTGGAAGCCTGCAGTGACTCCAGGACACGTCATTTGTCATTTGTTCAACGACTTAATTCTTTGGAAGTATCTGCTCACCCACATGCTTCTCGTATTCAATATAAAATGGTGCCCGAACTATGGCTGTCTCTTAAGTCGAGATAAGTATTCATCGTGAGCGATTGGGCGTACTTACACCGATCGTCGATGGAGGGGTAACTACCTACGCCCGGGACTGTGTCGCGACGTCGTGCAAGGACAGTGCCATCGCATATGAACGACGTATGCAGTACAATTTTAGACACATGTGTATGGATGGAGTATAAGGCAGCTCTACATTGGACCCCTATATGTGCGAGGAAGGCTCAAAACCATGGTGGCATTGAAACATGTTTCAGCCGTAGACGAGTTAGAGATCAATGAATGCCGAGCGCTACTGAGCACGAAAGTAACCGACGCCACCTAAGATGCCCCTTCTCATATTCCGGCGTCGGGTCATTGGCGTAAGATATTCGGTTTATGTTTTACGTTTACACTCTCTCATGGCAACGTCTCACGCACAAATGACGGATATCTCTGGCCTCCCACTTTCGCCACAAACTCTTTCGCCCTTCGCTCGAGCTTCAAAACCGAGCTTTGGGTAACCTTCACTCAAAGTTGGTAGCGCCAGCGACGCGGCCAACAACGTTGTAGCGCTTGGAGAAGAAGGTAATCCAGTCGTTGAGGACACCCTTCTCCTTGTCAGGAAGATCCTGCCAGTCGGCACTGACATCCTCAGCCTTTGTTGAAGTCTTTCCAAGAGCGCGAGAGGCGTCCTTTCCAGCAAAAACTACAGGGTTGTGAGTCATAGTAGCCTCTAGACTGAGATGAATGTTTTCCTTACCGTTGTAGGATCCTCCTGCTTGGTATGCCTTGTTACCCGTTACATCGTATACGATTCCCTGGATTATAAAATATTAGACGTGAATAGTAGTAAAAGGCGAGCGTGTTTTTTTTTACCTTGATCGCAACGTATGTCTTTCCATTGGGGTCTGAGCCTGTGATATTGTTAGTATTGTACGTATATTCTTTGCGACGGCAAAAGCAAGACAGTTGCGTGTGAGGTCAAGTATAAATAAGCACCTTTGAGACCGCTTGATCAAAGAAATGCCCGAGCCGCAACCATTTCCATGTTTACAAACATATGTTCATGAATTGCGACTTGTGAAAGATATGTGAGCAGGATCTGACCCTCGCTCTCTCCAACAACACGCCCCTCATGGTAATTGCGCTAAGAATATTCTGCTAGAGAGTCTCATGGCGGATAAAGAAAGGCAGGAATACATCGACTTACCATCGGCCTTGGCCAGCTCCTCGAGGGTGATGGGGTCATCCTTGGGAGGGGCCAGGGTGACGGGGTTCTTAGGCTCGAATTTTCCAGACATTTTACTGATCTTTGCTTATCTATGAGCTGGTGCGAAGCTTCGGGCTATTGAGCTAGGGAATTGATGTTGAATATGGAGTGTGCGGGTTAGAGATATGTCAATTTCTTACACACAAAGTAGATGATGGCGGGGAGAAAGAAGCTCAGTATTTGCCCCTCTGAGGCCGGAGCTCTTCCCCACGATCAAGGTGGGGGGCACTTGCGACATTGCTGGCTGAGCCTCGGAGTAACTGCCTTCGTCTGATTGGCCGTGCATTGATCAGCCTGGACCCACCAGAGCAAGAGCTCCAGACCTGCCGAACAATGCAGGCGAAACTCTCATTGATCTTTGATCGATACGTCACTTGACAGCCGCCCGATTGCAGTCAACCACCACGCTCCGACCCACGAGCTTGGCCCATACCGCACAGCTTGACCGATCTCCGGACACCGATATTGCATTTCCTTTTCGATTGATGACAACGATGGCCGTGTCGCGCATTGCGGCATGTCGGGCTGTCAATAGCCTGGGACTTCGCCAGATCGCAAGGTTGACCGGAACGTCCACAGCAGCTTTACGAGCAAGTACACCTCGGAATGCCTCGTATGTGTGCAGATATACCCAATTGAGACGCCAGAGCACTTCGAACCCTTCCTATAATGGCTCTAAGAAGAACGATGTCTCTCTTCCGCCACCGCCACCGCCGCCACCTTCCGCAAGTCAGCTATTGAGGGCGATATCCTTTCGCTCGCTGTTGACTTCCTTGACGCCGAGGGGTATCAAGAGGATGTTCAGAGAAAGTCCAGAAGAGCTTGTGCTAGCGCTAGCAATGTGAGATATCCAAAGCCGTCGCTGCTTCTAAGTTAACTAGCTGATCCGAAGTCCTCAGTCTTGCTGGCTTGGCAGGTGTCTCCATATACATCGTCAAGTTGTACTTTGACTACTTCATGGCCCGTCAGTTCACCAAGTATCCCAAGCCCATCGCCAAATCTCTTCGCCGTGCTCTTTATTACACAAATATCAGTCCCGATCCGAACCTCGCGAGGAAATACTACAAGCAAGCACTGGAGCAGTGCAATGAGCTCCAGCTAGACCCGTTCTCGGATGATGTTCTGGGCATTAGGATTCAGACCGCGGCATGGCTCGAAAAGATTGAAAACTACCAAGGAGCCATTACTGTTCTGGATTCTGTGCTTAGGGACTGCCTCAAGTGGGTAGAATGGATGGAGAACTCAATCGCAGATGGAACAGTAGACAAGTCAGGAAAGCCGCCTGCCGCGAAGCCTCTGTCGGAAAATCAACGACTCGCAGTTCCGGAGAATGGCGAGGAGAAGGTTGTCGAGAACCTGTGGCATAAGCGCACTCGGCTTCTGGCCAAAGCCGTCGGAACTAGCACTAAGCTTGGTGCCCTTTACTCGGACGAGCATGTTATGGAGCCAGAAAATTCTCTGGCCCGACTTACGTGGGCCGTTGAAACAGCACTGACAGAGTCAAAAAGACGCCACAAGGAAGGTGTTAAGAAGGATGAAGGTTCTTGGATGAGCCCAGAAGAAATTGGCGGTGCCATGGAGTGTTGGTCTCCCTTGAAGCCCCCTATATCGTACCCGCTTCCAAGTTACTGACAGAGTTGAATAGCCCTCGCCCAACACTACGAGACTAAATCCCAGTTTCATCTGGCGGTACCTCTCTTGTTCCAGGCATTAAGACTTTGTGCTAGCCCTTGTCACCGAGTAACTATCAGTACGTCCTCAGGGCCTCAGACTTAAGCTGGACAATCATACTGACACACTCTTCAGTGAACAATCTGGCTGCAGCATTTGCCCAGCATCCCCTTCAGACCCCGCTGGACGCCATTCCCAACGCGCCTGCCACCTCCGACGCAATGTTCAGTCCCGACATGCCGACAGACCGAGCCGGACTCTTGGAGGCTGCGAAGAACTGGGCTAGCAATGCTTACTCACACTCAAAGGATGTCAAGGGAGAGGACCGAACTGAAGAGTGTGACGAAGCTTGCGCCGTAGCATTAACCAACATGGGTGACATAGCTGCCCTACTAGGAAAGAAGGAGGACGCAAGAAAGCGTTTTCAGCAGGCAATCGACATGAGCAGGAAGATTGGCTTCGGTCCCGGCATCTCTCAGGGCGAAGCGGGACTTCAAAAACTCTAGGATAAACGAGGTACGGCCATTCAGACTGCTGAATCGCCTCAGGGATGTCTTCCTCGCCTCGCTTGAGGTATTGCCGGGGCAAATCGGGGCATCAGGATCCCATGTCGGCGAGCATATGGACATATCAAAGAGACGAAAGCGATGGTCCCCTCACGCCCGCAAAGACCCTGCATAGGGCTAGGACTGGCCAACAGAGACTTGAAGCCGCTTCTGCTGCATCCTTCTATTGACGTGGACCTTTTCAAATCGATTGGCATGGGTCCGCAGATGTGAACCGAAAATAGGTAGGCGATGGGGTCTTAATGCCTTCCTACGCCGTATTAAAGGATTCTTGATTGGGGCACATGGGGACGGAGAAATACCTCAACGGTGGCCAGGAACCACGAGACCACAACTAGGTCGGATTCAGCATCATTGCATCCGGTGCAGGAAGTCCCGACTGTCATAATTGTTAGAGCCACCGCCCATCTAGAAAGATGGCAAACGAAGCGAGTTGCTTGAAAGCCAGCAACGGATCCAACCAAGCTCGATTCGGTACTTGCAATCTCATTACACCAATAGCAACAAAAGTGCAAACAACAGAACTTGATCCAAGCCGTTGAATGAGTACTCACTCCGCATTACCTAAGGAGCTACACGAAACCCAAGAAACGAAGCCAACACGGTCTCACACAGTCTCTCAGCCGGTCTCTCTCATGTTGTTAGACGTTATTTTGGTCAAACACAGGACTGCTATGGGCGGCTAAGCACTGCCGAGCCCCGAGGCCATGATTCTGATGGCCGGAGAGAACTTATCGTCGAATTTTTGGGGGACATACCTAGAAACCCACATGGGGCCAAAATGTGCTATCACCAATCATATGGGCGAATAACAACGGCTTAGCGTGAAGGCGGATGCAGCTCGATGGGTCCAGTGCCCCCTGCATGTTCATCCCAGCAACTCCAGTGCTGGGGCAGACAAAATTACCCTTTTCGGAAAATAGTTGGGCTGAGGTGGAAAGAGACGGTCTTCATGGACGGAGAGAACGCTACCAGCCACCTACCAGCAGTTGAACAGCCTGGACGCCGCAGAGTGGAATCTGACACTAACTTGCAAAGATTCCTTCTGCCTAATCTATAGTGGGAAATCACCATGTGGCTTGCCCCCGCAGACTTCGAGACAAATCGCCAAACTTCGAAGTCTCGACGCAAAACGGTGCTCGTTACGCCACCGTTCACGCTGCCATACCACGCAGCAAAGCTGCGGGAATACCACATCATGTCAACTGTCTGATGCGCCATCGGGTCTCTGGGATTTGGAAGACCACCGCACATTCAGAACTTGGGCTCTGGTAAATCAAGACCGTTCGCAACTTTTCGTCAATACTCAGAATACTGGCAGCGTAGGGCGCGCAATTGGCCGTTGGATATACTCCGTAGACGTCTAATGTCTTTTTATCATCTGGAGACTATGATTCTGCTGGTTCGGTCACTGCGACTGCCAGCGCTGTCCTTCAAGTACAACAAAACAACACATGGTCGCCGATGACGAACCATGGCCTCGAGGGTAGAGCCTTGCAGAAGCTTGCGAGTTTCTCCGTCATCTCATGGTCCTCGCTTTCCAGGGTAGGCATATCCCAATGGCCATATGGCCGCCGGCACAGAGTGTGACAGCCTTTTGCAGCTTGCGGCATTTCGAGACATCATGCCGGCATCCCTCAGACCATGATCTTCGAGAAGCAGCCCTTATCTTTGTGGTTGAAATCCGTCCCGTGTTATCTTGAGCGCTGTTTCTTTGCTTACCCTCCTTCTCTGGCATTTTGTGGCACACGGCTCATGCACGCCGTGAAGAGCGAAGGCTTGTGTACTGGAAATGAAGACAAGTCTGCCTCTCATGCCCACGAATCTCGAGGACGAACGTATTTCATCAAGACAACTGAGTACTTTCCTTCGTGGCAACGAAGCAGGACACCATCTTGGCCAGCCCTTGACGGGGCAAGCAATTACAGTTGATTAGCAGAATAGCGATGAAGGGAACTGACCTTCGACTTCGCCAGAGAATTCTCTTCTGCTACAGCCAACAGCGCGCCTACACCTACCTATCAAAGAATCGACGGAGATTGGACCCAAAGTTTCTCACGGAATTCCGCTCAGCTAGTATTTTCCCCGTCGCATTGGACACTCACTCACATGTTGCGGGCGAACGCCCAGCTAAGGGACACCTCCATGCATACATGGATGGACGAGACCTGAGTACCTCGCTGGAAGTTTTTGTTCTGCTTCTCGCCCGGGGCCTGTAGCAGAGTGCTGCGGGAGATGTATACCAAGGCCTGCGTTCGTGAGTTTTGGCTCAGCTATCCGTAATTCACTTAGCTCTGTCGCAAAGGTGGGCCGGTAGCTTTAAAAATAGACTTGACTCGGCCGAGCTCTAGCCTCATCCGTTCGTCATCAATCCAGCTCTACGGATTGAGTCTCATCTGTCGTCACTCACCAATACTCACGATCCATGACCTACCGTGAAGGCAACAGAGACCTCGACTTCTCAAGCCAGCCTCCTTCGCACTATGGGGCTACTACTCTTCGAGCGCCCTGACAACGCCTGAATCCCCGTATGTGTGGTTCCACGGGATATGGGGACGCGGGTAACGCTAACGGCTGCAGCATGACAAAACGAAGCCGCGCATGTGATTGGCATGTTCGTACAGTCGTGGAAGACTAGGGTTCGAAAATACACCAAGAATAATACATCCATGCATCAGAACCCCGCCCTTCCGCTGAACTCGGGAGCGGAGAATGGGGTCGAAAAGAATTCAACAGGGACATTATATGGCTGCCTGATCTCGAGAATAGCGACCAGCCCGTGGCGAAACTCACCCTTCAAATCTCGCAGAAATCATGCCACGAACGGCAAACTAATGGCATCCTCCCGTTGCCATAATTGTCGTAATGGCCTGCTATTTCCGGTTGGGAAGCGGACTTCAACCAAAGGCGAAGTTTAAGAGACCGTTTTCGGGGGTTCCGGTGTGGAGTTCCACCCGGGAGCACGGGCTGCGAGCGATAGGATTCGGATCCGGGGAAGAACAGGAATGCTGATCTTCGGCCGCCTTACCCTAAGGTTATTTGGAGGTGGCAACGATGAGATCGACACTACGAGGTCACCTCACGGTTTGCGAGAAGCGGCAGATCAGATCATGTTAGAGCAAACAGATGGACGCGGCGTTTGCCGGCTCACTCAAGGCTCGTCTTTTCGACTCGCAGAACAGAATACCGAGGCTATGAAAACGGTGATGAGCAATTTGAGACGGAGAATTAGGTCAAAAGCAGTTGTCTTGGTAAGGAAAGCCGGCAAACCGTTGCAACCAGAGAACAACGCCCGCTAGTGCGGCGGAATTCCACTACACAGGTCAGTCACATCACACTCATGTTGTCCCGTTGAGCGCCAATGGACATGCTCTTTAATCATACTCAGTATCCGAATCTCCTCATATTTTTGTCAATAGCTCCTCTAAGAATGAGGCAACGTTTCCCTTCTTTCCAATGAGGTTAATCGCTTACTCGACAAGATGCAAGATATTCAAGCCTCAAATGGTTGAGTTGTGGCTGTGGTGGGGGCGAAAGGCATCTGACAAACCGGCAGGGCCACCGCTTATCAGATGAAGATCCATGCAATATACGGATGCTGCAAGAACAAGGAGCAACAAGGTAGTCAACCGTCGGTCCTTGCAAATTTCACTAGACATGGGCGGATGAGAAGACACAAAGTGTTCCACTATACCAATGTTGCAGAATCAGACCCCACGGCCTAGACCAACACCACCTCTCATCGGATAGTTGTCCGCGATATGCCACCCCGGATTGAGAGGTCACTCTCACAAGATTTGGGGGAAATCGGAGAAAACCACAAATCCCATGTTATCTCTGCCCCCTCTTTCTCTCTTTTTCTCGCATATTGTTCCACACCACTCACTCTATTGAGCACCCCGGCTAGCTGAATGCGCCGTAGACCAAAGCACAGCATCGCAACACCGACGCAAGGTTCCTCGACACATATCGGTAAACTATGCCGTCTATCAAGTAGAAACGAGCGACGGGAGTGATTGGCCATTCTGGCGGAAATTAGGTTGGGAAGTGCGTATGCCAGCATCTCTCTTGTGTCCTAGTGTAGGATTTTTAGCTGCCTCGCCCTAGCCCCGGCCGACGACCGACTTAAAGTCTATCCAGAAGACGTCCAACCACTATGATAGCTGACAGACCCGTCACAGCAGTTTTGACGTAAGGTGCCCGTTTGTTCGCAAGCAAGACTCGTGGAGGCTTCTATTGTTGGCACTGCGGAGTACCTTAGCTTTGGGTCCTGGGACTGGGCCAGCCTGGCAAGGCAACGACCCCCTGCCAAAGCTGCACTCACGCGGTGAATGTGCCACTATCCTGCATACCATTAATCGTAGGTGTGGTTCGTAACGAAATGCATACGGGAAGAGCAGCAAACGCAGACAGCTTCTTTTGGGGTTGAGTAGCATTGGCAACTCTTACCCAAGTTCGTGGGATTCGGAAGCATGCGAAGCCTGTGCGACGTAGTCATCACTTTCGTCATATTGCTTGGGCAGCACTTCTTGCTGGAAGCCGACAAGAGACCGCAGCCTCGAGTCTGCGCCGGTTGTGACTGAGATGGACGCCCAGAGGGACTTTTGGCATGGACAGCAGGACAAGTCGAAGCGTGTAACAGCCACCACCGTCAAGCAACTTTACATGTCATCAACCAGACATAGCAACGCTCCATCCAATCTCGGAGTATATCGTCCTGTTCTTCGCCCCAGCAGGCGACCCAATAAGGGGTTTTTTCATTTTTGACGCACTGGGCATCTCACCTTCGAGGTCCCCCGGAGAACGGCGATAGAACGGCATGCACCAAGCAGCTGCCGCGTTATGCATACACCCTTACTGTGCTGCCCCCACATCTCAGTTCCAAATTGGGCTCCGCCCTTTAGAGCGAGAAGTCTATCTAGAATAAAGCTTTGCTGCTGGGAAACGAATCCCAAAAGGCGGGATTACGATTCCTACCCTCGGCAGCAGCTCACCGACTTGCCACACCCCTCCCCTGCCTCCTCGGTCTTGGGCGACGTCGACGGCTTCAGAGACTGCTTTCGTGGTTCCAGCGCCAGTCACTAACACCTTCTGCATGCCGGATGGATTGGTCAACTCAGTAAGCCACGGATGGGCTTGTAGAAAAGATTCTCAAAACCGTTGGCAATGCAGTGTTGCTGGTGACTCGCAGTGGGCATGATTCTTTGGCACCGAAGAAGCGAGTCTAAGATAACTTTGGCGTCGTCTTCACCGAAGAGGAGACCGAAGAGGCGAGGCCACGGACGTTTGTCTTTCCAAGTTTTCTACTTTCTTCTCGCTGAGGCTAGGATCATGAACAGTCCAGGAGACCAGACGAAGAGGCTAGATCTGGCTGTGGCGATGCTTTCGTAAACCTGTCGTCTGAATTTTCGACTCGTCAGAA